AAATTTGGCACATCGCTAGAGACCGGTTAGTAGGGTGCCATGCACAAGTCAGTTGGAGGTACCCCCTCGCAATTGCGCACGTGCAAGGCCCACCCTCTCGCTCGCTCCGTTAGACGCCCCAAAAGGCGTTATACTGGCCATAAAATCTGTTCGGATTGCGTAGAATCTTCCCTTTACGAGCGTCATGTTCATGCAAGCATCAGTAAGCTATCAGACCAAAGTCGAGGTCAGATCAAACTTTAAGGATATCTTAACCCCATAATTATAGTTTGTATTTGAGGTAAATGACACACGTTTTATGGGATATGTTTAGGCGTAAAACTCGAATGGTACCTACAACCATTCCATCATACAAGTACCTATATTTTGTGTAAAAAATCACCTCAACAGATACCAGCATTGTGACCGTGAAGAAACTACGAAAAATGGCCAGGATTCGGATCAGTATTTTGGGAAAAATGGAAGGAAAATAAAAAAACCAAAGATAGGTATTTGATTCAACAAGACATTGTCAGACTAACGGCTTTCCCACCTGTGTATATACCTAGCTATAAAGGTATATTTTTTTTCTCAATATGATTTGTTTTTTCTTCAAGTACATGCCATTTTTGTCGATAACTTAACCCTAGAACGCCTAGGGGGGGGGTTGTATCAACCCCCCCCCTGAGGTTTTTCGGAAATAGTGCAAAAACGGCGGCGCGCAGCGCCGCCAAATTTTGGGTACCTTATGGGGCAACCTTTGCGCATCTTTTGCCGAAAAAAAATTGATCGGGTCATGTCAGGTCACGGAGTTATGACGTCATAAGAGGTACAGCCTCCGGCCGGATTTTCACAAACTGAGTGCCAACGCCCGAGGTTTCCTGCCGGTGGTACGGACATCGGTTGATGGATCGTGATGAAACTTCCCATGCATGTTGGGGCAGGTATTGGCTATCATATGGTATAAGAAATTTGACCGGGTCAGGTCAGGTCACGGAGCTATGACGTCACAAGAGGAACAGCGTCCGGTACTATTTTTGAAAAGCGCCCGAACCACTATTTTGCTAATTCTTGTCACCTCAATGGGAATATGCAGCAATATTAGCTTCTACAGGGAGCAAATGGACCTCCCAAATCCAAAAATACAATCAGATTTCAAAAATTTAAATTTTGATTTTTCGAATTTCTGCCGCCGACTGTGACCTTGCCGACTTCCGGCGCTCCCAACGCGCCATTTTTAGAGCTAGGGAAACGAAATACATACCAAACGATAGAGAATTGATCAAGGAACACGATAGTGAAGGTTTCAAGTCGATATCTCCCACCGTTTTGCCGCAATCGCCGCCGAAAGTTGAAAAAAGTCTATTTTTCCGAAGTAGGTCAAATGTTGACCTAGGACCAAAAAATATACCACCAATCGCGAGATCTCGTTGAGAGCAATCCGTTGGTCTTTTCCGCTAAGCTCTACGACCTTCCGTTTCGAAACGCCAGGGGGGGGGGGGTCGTAACAACCCCCCCCCCTGGTCGTTCGTGTTATGAGAAATGGCCTGGTCGTGCGAGGGTTAAACATAACGACGTCATTAAAACCTCTAAATCTAAAAATTGTTGAATCGTTAAAAATTGCTATAATAAGCCTCAATCAATGCGTAAAAAGACCGAGCCCACATGCAAGGATATGTGTTGGCTCGTAAGCAGCAAACAAACCAAGCGCAACAGGAATGTACTTAGGTCGTTCAATAAGTAAGGTAAAATGTACCATAGTTCATTTATATGAGGAATTCAAGCAAAATCAAATATGGCCATCTGAATCTTTGAACAATTTTCTACACAACCTTCGAAACTGTTTTTGGGAGTTTAGCTCATTGTCCGAACACGGTCGATGTGAAAACATTGATGCAGCAGAGTTCCGTTCTAAAAATCCCCGGTTTGTCACGCGAGCCAAAATTCACCTCAAAATGAGTGAGTTGACCCGATGACGCTATTGCCATTAGCAATGCTTGCTGGTGAACAGCTGGCATGTACGATTTCAACAAGAACACAGCAGTGTAAGAGACAAAGTTCTAGAGCAGGGTAGACTTTTGCCCGCAGGCCTCTCTGGACTTGGCACAATCTGTAAAGTCGGGGAGCTGATTATGGAGACCCGAAGCATCTGTGTGACTGCTTTCATTAAAGGGACCCTCCCACCTTAACATTAGATTTGAGTTGAGATAGCCAAAATGGGGTCCCTGGCTCACAATTACCGGTTTCGGCACTCACAACATCGAGAAATGCCTTGAATCGGAAATATTGAATTTCAAAATTGCAGCATTTTGATTCAGAGGGGCTAATGCATAGGAATACCCCTCTGAATGTGTGACGTCAGCGCAGATATCTAACGATTTTTAAATGTTTGACTAAACTAAAACGTTTTGTAGCACGCGGTGGTATATGCTGCTTTGCGCGCAACAAGTGCCGCACTTTCAGCTGCCAAACTATTGCTTACAAATAAAGTCGCTAGGAATAGCGGAGATCCCAAAAGGTAAACAAAAGTAAAAGTCTAATATCTTGAAAACCGGTGAATATTTTTCGGTGAAATTTGGTAGATATTCGTTTTCGCTCTTTCTGAACCGAGCGACATCACTTTCATGCCAATTCATAAACTTTTTTGAAGGTGGGAGGGTCCCTTTAACAGAGTGAAGTGTTATGTCGGAACAGTTCTAGGCATCATCAGATATGCTTGATATTTACAAGGTCATCACGAGGTTAATAAAGCCAAAGAGCTCACTGAACAACAGAAGGACGCCCAGCGAGACATCAGTGTGGGATCGGCTTTGCTTTAGCAGATACAGGAAAGCTGAAGTACAGCCGTGATCTGGCGCCGTCCCACTTGAACCTGTTTGGATCACCGGAATCTTAACCCGCGCGGGGCTGGGGTCTCCAGCCGAACGCGCGGGGCTGGGGGGGGGGGTAAATTTTACCCCCCCCCCTGTTATCTCCCGAACTAATGGTCCGATTTGGAAAATTCAAACGCCAATCGAAAGCTCTCATCACGAACTACTAAAAACATGTACTTAATTTAAAGTTTGAGGTCAAGGTCAAGGTCAGGTCAAGGGTACAAATTGCAAGTTTCTACAGTATCGGCCTTGCACCGTAGTTGCCGAAGAATGGAGTCATGGACTGAGACTGATCGCCCAAAACGTGTTCTTAGGCTACCAAGACAATATTCGTTGCATACAATATCATTCAGAGGTCAAGGTCAAGGTCAGGTCAGTTCAGGTCAGGTCACCAAAAAACAAAATATAGTAAAGGGCATGTGCGACACATGTTTTATGGGTCATTTTACTCATAGAATTCAATAGGCACACTCAATAAGTGATATGGACCACCTCTGGATGAATTTCAGGTCGAGGTCAGGTCAAGGTCAGGTCAAGTAAGGTCAAATTTTGAAGTTGGTTGTTAAGGCCTAAAAAGGTGTCTATCTGATGCAGTTTTTCACGGCGAATCGAATGGTGCTATTTTTGTTTCCGTACAAGGTCTAGAACTTCCAAAAAAGTCATTTTTCAAAAAATTTGTGTGTCGTGACGTCATAAAATTTTGAATAACTCCCACATTTTTGAACCGATTCTTCTAAAATTTGGTATGTAGGTGCACATAGACCACTTCTCTGACATATATTCCGGTTTTTTCGATAGACTCAAAATGTTGGATTTTATAATGATTTTCCCAAAAAAGTCAGTTTTTTGAAAAAATTTAGGCCAAAATCCAAAATTTTCAAAAAACCGAGATAGCCATTTGATAGACAAAGTAAAATTACGTATAACCTTTTTTGTTACGTTTTGATTCCTTTAAAAATGAAGATGTTAGCGGCGTTTGAACTTTTGCCGTTTTTGAGGCGAAAATGGCGAACATGACGTCACTAAAACGTCAATTTCTCAAAAATTTTCCGACGGATTTCGCTCAAATTTTCAGGGAACGTGTCAAATTGATGTAAGAAAAGGTACTGAAAGTTTGGCGGCGCTGCGCGCCGCCGTTTTTGAGATATCGCAAAAATTCGCGAGGGGGGGTAAAATTTACCCCCCCAGCCCCGCGCGGGTTAACTGATCAGGCAATCGATAAAATAATCAAGACATGGCTTTGGAATAGCAATAAGGAGTTTTCCAAACAGGATTTCAACGCCGGGTGGAGTGCTGGGGTAAGCGCGTACGCCTGAACGGTGATGATTGGATGTAGGTGCCAGTTCCGAAGGCTTGGGAAGCTGTCCGAAGAGACCTGCTAACAAATGCTTATAGCCAATTTGTAGACGATATTTCAATGAACATATGTTGGTAGCTTTGTGTCGTTGCATCAAATGTGGACTGAAATACGTGTGATTTTACCTTACTTATTGAACGACCTAGCAATAGCCACTTTCATGACGGGCTATCTGGCGAATGCACCTGATTTAACCAACTCTACACCAACTCTCTTCTACGATAAACATCTTCGTATCATGAATTTATTTCAGTGTTTTAATATAAAATAATGTCAAGTAAATGGCGAAGTACTTGTATGAACAGCATTATGACATATATATATATATATGTTTTCAAATATAACCTTATGTTCAATGATTGCGAAATGCAAAAGGTTCCAAAATTAATTACAAAGTGAATATATTTCGGACACTGTCCTTCTTCAGTTCAGAATTGCAAATTAAATCATTTAGTCACAACAGCGCCAGAACATGTCGATAACAGCTAAGTTAGGAAGTCTCACATTGGTAAATTCTCGCGCAAAATAGACAACCATCTTACAGTTGAAATGTTCACAAGGTACCCTTTCATATAAATATAATACATGTGTCCACAATTTACACATTAATTCATCCCTATCATCTATCAATCACTAGACCACAAGCATCTAGTCGTCTATTCAACCATCGAGCCATGCAATCAGTCAAACATCCAACCATCCATGTACTCACACATCACTCAGCTATAGATAATTAGACAATCAAGTCATCAAAGGCCACCATCTTACATCAAAGAGCATAAGTACTTTACCATTCGTAAACTTGGGAAGCAAGTTGTTTTCGATGCAGATCTGGTTAAATGTAACAGCAGCATTTGTCCTGATTAAGTCTTTTCCAATGGATTCTAGTTTTCTTATCGCCTTCTTTTCTTGGATCGATACTCTACTGAAGATAGAATTCATGATAGCAAGTAAAAACACATTCCAAGTTACATACATTTTTTCGGACCGGTTTCGATATACTCCCTATATCATCCTCAGCGAGACTATGTTGCGCAAGATACAATTATAAGTTAGGACATTGCAACATGGCAAAGACGTTAAATATTAGGTCACCATATTGGTAGATATAACAGTGCAAAATTATAGAATACCAGTGAAACGATTATACACTACAGATGACGAAATTCGATTCAAACTTTAAGTGACACAGCGACACAAAAATAACAATAGTACACGTGAATGACGAAACATGGTGACTTTTGGAAAAGGATCACACATAATCTAGCACTAGCTATTTTACACAAGTCTGGGGCCATCAAACAAACTAAGGTATACTTTAAATTTGTACTGGCGGTTGATGTCTGGGTTCCTGTGTCTGATGTAGGCTCCTTCTAGCGCACCCAGACGTCTCCGGTTGGTCGTTGAGCAGAGGATAGTGGTGCTCTCTTCTAACTGTTTTTTAGTCAAGGGATTTTTTAGTCAAGGGATTTACTTTACCATTAACCCTATTCCTGGCGGGGGGGGGCCTCAGGAGCCCCCCCCCCCCTGAGGTTTTTTGGTTATTTCTCCCAAACGCGTTGAGCTAGGAAGCTCAAATTTTCTGACTTTTCCTATAAGGCTTCTACGCAACATGTCTGAAAATTTTGAGTTGATCTGACCTCAGGTCAGGTCACCAGAGGCGGTTTGGTGGCCCTACCTCAGAAAAGTTTGCAATCACGCCAGAGCTAGAGTTTTTGACCGATCAATTTCTTCTCTTCAGGCTTTAGTTAGGGTACCAGTATGTGCAATTTGTATATCTCGGAATTTTGATATCGGTGACCTAAGGTCAGGTCAGTTTCGCGACCTCCCCATTATAAGTCAATGGGGGAAAAATCAACTCCCTGTTTTTACCACTAAAACGGGTCGGAATGGCCCCATATACCATACATGACTTCATATACGATCAACCTTCACTACCTTGAGGTCTGTTTTGCTGTTGGGCAGCTGTGAGGTCATGTGACGTCATCAAAGGTCACCAAAGGTTTTTGGCCAATAACTCCGTACAGGAACAAGATACGGACGCGTGGATGGTCTCATTGTGTTCAGCTCGTCAAGACGCATCGAATGATATACATGATGACCTCGAGGTCACGTGACCTGAGGTCAATTTTTGACCTTGACCTTTCGAGGTCAACATATATATCATTCGATGCGGATTGACGAGAGGATCACGATGATGCCCTTAGTTTGTTCCTATCTTGACTAATTCGAAAGTTATTCGAGAAAAACTCTCTCCATATCTAGCGCCGCCATTTTGACTTTTTCGACCCCTGTGACGTCATCTTTGACCTGACCTGAAAATGACCTTAGTAAAAATTGTAGACCTTGTCCATGCGTATCCGATGCCGTTTACCGCTTGTCGCTATCTTGCTTCGTTCTCGAGATCTCAGGGGGGGGGGGCCGAATCGGCCCCCCCGCCAGTTTCTTGTCCCGGCGGAGCCCGCCAGGAATAGGGTTAAACCATTCATTCAAACCTCGAAACAATACTCAATCGTTCAATCATTCATGTTCATCCATACATTCATACATTCATTCATTCATTCATTCATTCATTCATACAATCATCCAATTATTCAGTCCTTCATTCATTCATTTTCTCACATACCATTCATCAATATGGTTGAATATAAAAGCCACTTGTCAGTAATACACACATGATCAGTGAATCAGTGGCAAAGGCATCAGAACAGAAGACGTTACAATAGCGAAGTTGTAAATGAGATGATGTTTTTCGTACTCAAGCGTAGATGGGTAGCCAATAGCCATACGGCTTCCACAGTTGACAGTGATGACATCAGTCATCTTTTGCAAGCTCGTTAAAGATTTGGGCTGTACGGGGACTCGAACCCCGGGCCTTTGGATTAGCGCTCCAATGCTCTACCTCTGAGCTATACAGACCAAGTGCTTTAACGAGCTTTCTGCCAAGAAATGCGGATCATTCTTAGGTGTTGTTTTTATCCGCTGGGACTGAGAGCGTGAGATGATGTTTTTCGTACTCCAGCGTAGATGGGTAGCCATACGGCTTCCACAGTTGACAGTGATGACATCAGTCATCTTTTGCAAGCTCGTTAAATATTTGGGCTGTACGGGGACTCGAACCCCTGGCCTTTGGATTAGCGCTCCAATGCTCTACCTCTGAGCTATACTTGGTCTGTATAGCTCAGAGGTAGAGCATTGGAGCGCTAATCCAAAGGCCCGGGGTTCGAGTCCCCGTACAGCCCAAATATTTAACGAGCTTGCAAAAGATGACTGATGTCATCACTGTCACTGTCAAGCCGTATGGCTACCCATCTACGCTGGAGTACGAAAAACATCATCTCACGCTCTCAGTCCCAGCGGATAAAAACAACACCTAAGAATGATCCGCATAAAACTTGGCAGAAAGCTCGTTTAAGCACTTGGTCTGTATAGCTCAAAGGTAGAGCATTGGAGCGCTAATCCAAAGGCTTGGGGTTCGAGTCCCCCTACAGCCCAAATCTTTAACGAGCTTGCAAAAGATGACTGATGTCATCACTGTCAACTGTGGAAGCCGTATGGCTACCCATCTACGGTGGAGTACGAAAAACATCATCTCACGCTCTCAGTCCCAGCGGATAAAAACAACACCTAAGAAGTTGTAAATGCTAGAGTACTACAGGACAGGATCAGTTCCTCATTTCTTTCCCTGGGTCTATGACTCGTTACCCTTTAAATCCCTATACCATTAATACCCTATACCATATTACCCTATAAATGAATGAATGAATGAATGAATGAATGAATGTATGAATGTATGGATGAACATGAATGATTGAACGATTGAGTATTGTTTCGAGGTTTGAATGAATGGTTTAATGGTAAAGTACTTATGCTCTTTGATGTAAGATGGTGGCCTTTGATGTTTTGATTGTCTAATTATCTATAGCTGAGTGATGTGTGAGTACATGGATGGTTGGATGTTTGACTGATTGCATGGCTCGATGGTTGAATAGACGACTAGATGCTTGTGGTCTAATGATTGATAGATGATAGGGATGAATTAATGTGTAAATTGTGGACACATGTATTATACACCCAGCAAACATGCCCACATGGGTCCCATATGGGGTGAACATGGGCCAGATGGGCCCACGTGGGACATGGGCTACAGATGGGCTACCCATATGGGCCCCATATGGGATAAAAATGGGCCAGATGGGCCAAACGCATGTGGGCTGGAGATGGGCATCCCATGTGGGTCCCATATGGGGTGAGCATGGGCCAGATGGGCCCACGTGGGACATGGGCTACAGATGGGCTACCCATATGGGTCCCATGTGGGCGCCGCGTGGGTTCCATATGGGGCCTACGTGGGCTGGCCCGTATGGGTCCCACGTGTCACCCACTGCCATTCCCATGTGGGACCCATATGGAAGAGGTGGGGGCCCATGTGGGTCCCATATGGGAACCATGTGGGCATGTTTGCTGGGCATGTATTTATATGAAAGGGTACCTTGTGAACATTTCAACTGTAAGATGGTTGTCTATTTTGCGCGAGAATTTACCAATGTGAGACTTCCTAACTTAGCTGTTATCGACATATTCTGGCGCTGTTGTGACTAAATGATTTAATTTGCAATTCTGAACTGAAGAAGGACAGTGTCCGAAATATATTCATTTTGTAATTAATTTTGGAACCTTTTGCATTTCGCAATCATTGAACATAAGGTTATATTTGAAAACATAAAATAATGTCTGATAATTTGAAAATGAGGCTATTCCTAAGCATCTGTGCAGCCCAAACTGGTAATTTTTAAGATACACTGAAACTTATTTGACCAAAACTGCACCAAATTTCCACCTAATCTGCACCAAATGTGTACCAGATGGCTGTCGTGAAAACGGCTAATGTCTGCAGCCTACCGTTTTTATTTATTTTACCTTTGTCAAAAACTGCTGGGCGTTTAGGCGCATGAATTCGTCATTAACTACGGCTATCTGAGCCCTTAGGACGATACATTAAATGAAATAGAATAAGATAAAATGAATTTGTTTAGTAAGCTTTGAAATAAAACTGGTGATAAGGGAGAAATGAGACGACTGCAACAAATATGAAATAATGCCTATAACCATCGACATGTGGTGACGACGAATGATGTGCAGCTTAACCCGCGCCCCGTAGGGGGGGGGGGCCGAAACGGCCCCCCCTGTTCTTTTCGGTCGATATCTCCTAAACGGCTGGAGATATCGCCACCAAACTTAAGGACCCCTCCGGGCATCAATTTTACACATTGTGACCAAAAATTTTTCCAAAGGCTATGATAGGTTGGCCACAAATGACGTCAGAGTGACGTCATGTTCTGTCATTTTCGACCGAAAAAAGACCTTCGCGAGAAGACCTGTCAGGACTACAGCTTTGAAGATACAGAAAAATGATCAAGACATAAAAGGTGTAGAATTAACAGGGCTACAAAACTGTTATCTCGAATTTTTGAAATTTTTGAGTTTTGACCCCCAAAAATCAAAAAAAACATTTTTTTGGATATATTTGCCAAAAAATCCAAAAAGTTTTTTGAGTTTCGAAAAAACCGGAATATATGTGATAGTGCCTACCGTCTTCTATCTACATACCAAATTTCAGATCGATACCTCGTTTTTTGGCCAAGTTATAGCGAAAAAAACTGTTCAAAAATGATGACGTCAAATTTTCAAACTCAATTTTTGGCAATTCTAGAACTCGTAGAGCAAAACGAAGACCACCATTAGACTCCCCGTGACGAGCTGCATCGAATCGATACCCATTTTATGCAAAAATATCAACTTTGAAATTTGACCTAATTTGACCTGACCTTGACCTGACCTTCACAAAAACGTGACCTAGGCTGGCCCCAAAGGCTGCCTAACCCACATAATCGCATTTGTCATGTAAAATGGACCATAAAACATGTATCACACGACACATTCATATTGTGACCCCCGGTGACCTGACCTCGCTGTGACCTGACCTGGTATCAGTGACCTCAGATAGCAAAGTATGTGTTTGACGAACAATGTACCATCGATGGTTTTCAATAAATTACCAATTTACTCGCTTTCACAGCACATTTCTTGAATTGCCTGTGAACGGTGAAAATCTGACCTTTGACCTGACCTGTGACGTCATCGGTTTGACCTAGGTCAATGAAATTTGGTCACAAGGTAGTTCCCGGGTGGGGCTATCGAACGCCGTTTGAATTTTGAAAATCGGCCGGTAACTTTCCGAGATCTTAGGGGGGGCCGATACGGCCCCCCCCCCCCTACGGGTGGTAGGGTCCGCCGGTAGCCCTACGGGGCGCGGGTTAAGAGGCCTTCCTATCCTAGGTTTTAACTTGTGTATAACCTTTTTTGGTGTGCTACTTGGCTTTAAAGTCGCGTCAGTTTCGTCTGTTTACACAGTTGCGTTTCAAGGTGGTGCCCAGCACAAGTGTGTCAACTCCATTTCCTCGGTTTTACACAGGGCACCAATACGGAAGAGCGTAGCTATCCATCGGGGAGTCGCATCGCTGTGTAACGCGGTGATTGGCGGGCGGGCTGGCACAGCTGCCGGTCGCTCCACTACTGTAAATTGTATAAAAGGTGTCCGGCGGGGTGACAGTCCCGAACCGACGCTGTCACAGTCACCATGAGGGTGGTCTCGCTTCTGCCTCTGTCGGCGCTGCTGCTGGCGCTCGGGGTCTCCCGCTGTGTCGGTCAACTCATGCGCCATGGGGATGCGGGTCAGATGAGAGCCGCGATGGGCGTGTCATCTGCCGACTGCGATGACGCTCAGGTATGTCGGGCTTAAGTACACACACTGGACCACTGTCTTACCTAAAGATAGACATAAGACACAGTATTTTGGCCGTCTATTGCATTTGTTTGCCTGTCGCTAGTTTCCATAATACGATTCCTTTATTTATTTTATTTTATTTATTTATTTATTTGGGGTCAAGGACAACAGGCATACGTGGGCCCATTTAATGTCCAAGCACTCAAAATCAGTCAAATGTTACACACAAACACTGGGACAAAAACATTGCAACTACGATACAATTTTACAATTCTTTTACATATGTTGACACATTGGCCCTAAGTTCCCTTAAAGAGTCATGGAATACATCAGCATCAGTACACTGAAACAAAAACTTATTAACAAACGATGGTGCTCTAACAAAAAGTGACCTTTGTACCGCGTCTACTCTCGCAAATGGAACATGAAAGACACCACGTGCTTGTTCGGTGTTTCTCGTTGCCCTTGGCGCGATAAATAGAGGGAAATGGGCTAAAAGGGCTGCACAATCAGTATGATTTTTATACAATTTGGCAACAAACATAATGTCATATTGTCGACGCCTATTCTCTAGACATGCGACGCCAAATAATCGCAGCAAGTCACTGTAATCAATAGCTGATGGTGAGTCTTGACATCGAGTATAACAATATAGCCAATATAAGAAACGTTGTTGCACCCTTTCGATTCTGTCCAGGTACGTTTTTGCGGCACCTCCCCAAATAACACAACAATACTCGAGAATTGCTCTAACGTTACCATAATATGCTGTTAAAATGGGCTTCCAGCTAAATGTTTTGACCTTGTGACCGGTTTGCATCGATCTCATGATGAGACCCATGACTCTGTTAGCTTTTGATACTGTTGTGTCTATATGTTTGCTGAAAGTCAATTTGGTATCCAAAACAACACCCAAATCCCGAATGGTTTCAACGTTTTCCAGACAGGTCCCATTAATCATATAACTATAAACAATGGGATCACGTCTGAGGGTTACCCTAAATGACTTGCATTTATCAGCATTAAGCTTGAGTTTCCAGCTTTTGGACCAGTTATAAAGTTGTGTTAGATCATTTTGTAACAATGTGGTATCATTCTGTTCTGATATCACTGAAAATAACTTTATATCGTCTGCAAACATGAGACAGTTGGTTTGAACCATTCGTGGAAAGTCATTAATAAAAAGAGCAAAAAACAAAGGTGAAATAATACTGCCCTCTGGGGTACCCGAAATAACATTCTGCCATTCAGAACATTTGCCATTTACAACTACTCTCTGCTTACGCTGTGAAAGAAAAGACGAACACCATTTAAGTGCTAGTCCGCCGACACCATACGATTTTTGAAGTTTGTGAATGAGCAGCTGATGGCTCACGCTTTGAAAAGCTGAGGAAAAGTCTGTGTAAATAATATCCGTTTGCTTGCCATTGTCTCAGGAATCACATGCAGTACTCAAAAGGCAGGCTAGATTCGTTTCACATGATCGTCCTGGTATAAATCCGTGTTGGCATTCAGAAAGGACAGATTGGACATGAGTAAATAAAGTATCACGCACTACTTTCTCAAGTATCTTGCCAAAAAACGAAGTTATTGAAACTGCTCTATAGTTTGTGGGAAGACGCCTTGAACCCTTCTTAAGTACAGGGACTATGTTTGCTTCCTTCCACTTCTCAGGAAAAGTACCTTGCTCGATAGATAACATACAGATAATTGTGAGGGGAGACACTAGCTGACCCGAACACTCTTTTATCACACGAGCACTAATGTCGTCTGGCCCAGTAGCCTTATGGACATTTAAACTATCAATGATGGAGCTAACTGAAGATGCTGACACTTCGAACGTAAGCAATTCTGGTAAATCAAAATCAAACGCAGCTGGTAAGCAATCGATAGCTGGATCTGAAAATTTTGCAGCAAATGTACGATTAAGTAGATTAGCACGCTCTACATCTCCCGACACTTCAACAGCGTCATCCAGTAAAGTAGGGAGCTGACCTTTACCGCCTTTAATGCATTTCAAAAATGACCAAAATCTTTTGGGATTCTGCTTAAAATCAGCTGTAATGCTCTTCAAATATTCAAAATACTTCATGCATGACACTTTCTTTGATTGATAGAGAACAGAAGATAACAGGTAACAGACCTATCAACGTACGAAACGGTATAAAGTTCAGTCCTCAAGTTAAGTTTTGCATTGCAGCCCAAATAGTTTGGACTGCAAATATGGATAGTTGAATATAACCGTCATCTGCGGTCTCTTGAGTGCGCTTGTTCACTATTGCAGACTGATACAGCTATTTGAACGTCTATCTCTGGAGCGATACAGATGTATTATTGCATTTAATCGGTCCTGCAGTGCCTTGCCAAAAGGCTGCCTTACGAACCTAACGCTTGAAGTCGACCGTGTTCTATTGTCGCTGGCGCGGCGTTGCAGACTGGCCTGGAGATGGACTGGGACGGCTCGGCTGACGAGTACACCTGCTCTGCGGAGCAGTCGGGCGCAGCCAGCGGCACCGGCTCGGTACTGGAGAGCAAGCTGGAGAGGATGTGCCTCGAGGTGCCAGCCGACTTCCAGGTAAGTGGTCGCACAATGATCGGCGAAAATTCGTCGGTTTGAAGTAAATTTAGTCCATAATTACTGCGAAGCTATAAAAGCAACAGCACTACGTTGTTTTTTATTACTTATCTACAATAACACTGCTGTTGCATGCTTGGAACAGCGTTGTGAAGGAAGGCGGCGTTGGCTTCGAATCTGATCATAACCGAGAGTTCTTATACGGCCGAGTTGTGATGTTTGTGATTGACAGCATGAAAATGACTGAAATGTTAACTTGAACAGTTCTGTCTTCTTCTAAATTACCCATTTTCTCAATTACTGACTTCTGCTACGATCAAGAGCTCAAAAATGTATTTTTCCAAACAGTTCAGCCGTATGCCCGAGGGTGTGTCTTATCCCGTGCTACTGCGTACCTACAATACAAAGATCATGCAATGGGCACACAACCTTTAACCCTCGCCGGCACAGGCCATTTTGCGTCCTTCGACGGCACAAAAGGGGGGAGAGGGGTTGGTACGACCCCCTCGCGTTTGGCCCCTGATCGAGCTAGAGCTTCGCAGAAAAATGAGCGTGTTGCCCGTCACGAGAGGAAGCCGATGATACCCAATTTTAAGGTCCTAGGTCATCGGGTGACCTTCCAGGTCAGGTCAATGACCCGAAAACCGGGAAAATCGCGACCTGTTAGAAAGTCGTAAAGTGTGGCTGCTATGTGGTTTTCCGGGTGCTGATCACGAAAATCGTGTTAGTTTTGATCAGAGATGATGTCTTTAAGCATTTAGACCAGGTCGGGTCAGGTCAGGTCAGGTCAACCGGTAGGGGTTGTGACGGGTATTCGTAATACGTGTCCACCGCCTCTGACAGCTTCGTAACATGTTACGAAGGCACCAAAACTACTTCGTAAATGTTCAAATGGTTGCTAAATTCGAATTCAGCTCCAAAAACTAGCCTAGAAACATGTAAAACTCGAAAAAGTGAACCGAGGTCACCCGAGGTCACCAAAGGTCAATGACCTGACCTGACCTTCAGGTGACCTTGACACCCACCCTAATGTATGGGAACAACATCAAATCACATGTTTGAACGTTTGAAACCACGAAAAGCTTGCAAACGCGCGGTTAATGAGAGCCGACATGCGCCGAATCGCGATTCCGGCCAAACATGGTCTCGGAAAAGAGGTCACAGGTCAAAGGTCATTTGGGTCAGGGTCATGGAATTTTCAGGGTAGGTATAAAATTGATCAATGCGAGGGTACTGAAAGCTTCGTTGCGATCGGCCGCTTTTTACGCGAGTTTTTCGCGAAAAAACCTTAGGGGGTGGGGTTGCATCAACCCCCCCCCCTGTGCCGGCGAGGGTTAAGCTGATTTCTAAGATTTTGTTGCTTTGATAATTTATATTTTTTGCATTGAAGAGCCTTGGAATGTCTGTTTATTGCAAAATATTATATCTGTAATGATAGGAATTGATTCAGTGTGGCATTTTATTCAACTTCATAATCGGACATTGTGGGTTTGACGACTTTTTGCCCCACCAACTTTCCTGGAAAAGCCCCACCCATGCCCCTTCCTCCATGTGCGGGTGAGGGTTAACTCTCGCATGTGTAGGGGGGGGGGGTCGGATGGACCCCCCCCATGGTTCTTCGCGAATAACTCGCGTAAAAAGCGACCGATCGCGACGAAACTTTCAGTACCCTCACATTGATCAATTTTACACCTACCCTGAAAATTTCATGACCCTGACCCAAATGACCTTTGACCTGTGGCCTCTTTTCCGAGACCATGTTTGGCCGGAATCGCGATTCTGCGTATGTCGGCTCGCATTAGCCGCGCGTTTGCAAGCTTTTCGTGGTTTCAAACGTTCAAACATGTGATTTGATGTTGCTTCCATGCATTAGGGTGGGTGTCAAGGTCACCTGAAGGGCAGGTCAGGTCATTGACCTTTGGTGACCTCGGGTGACCTCGGCTCACTTTTTCGAGCTGTACATGTTTCTAGGCTAGTTTTTGGAGCTGAATTCGAATTACCAACCATTTTAACATTTACGAAGTAGTTTCGGTGCCTTCGTAACATGTTACGAAGCTGTCAGAGGCGGTTGACACGTACTACGAATACCCGTCACGATGCCTACTGGTTGACCTGACCTGACCTGACCCGACCTGGTCTAAATGCTTAAAGACATCATCTGTGATCAAAACTAACACGATATTCGTGATCAGCACCCCGAAAAACCCCTTAGCAGCCACACTTTACGACTTTCTAACAGGTCCCGATTTTCCCGACTTTGGGTCATTGACCTGACCTGGAAGGTCACCCAATGACCTAGGACCTTAAAATTGGGTATCATCAGCTTCCTCTCGTCACGGGCAACACGCTCGTTTTTTCCGCGAAGCTCTAGCTCGATCAGGGGCCAAACGGCAAGGGGGGGTCCAACCGACCCACCCCCCCTACACATTAGAAGCTGGCAAACGCCGCACACATGCGAGGGTTAAGGTGCGGAGTCTCGCGCGTCTGGCTGTTACGATTTCCGAGTGACCGATAGCATAGTATCCGCGTTATTGGTTTTGTCGAAAAAAAAAGAATGCCTACCACGCAGTTTGCAGAGGGTTGTATATACATATACGATGTAGCTTCACTTTACCAGGCCAGCGACGTCACACTTTCAGTACCTTATCATACATCAGTTTAACATGTTTTCCAAAAATTTGAGCGAAATCCGTCGATTTTTTTAGAAAATGACGTTTAAGTGACGTCATGGTACGACATTTTCTCTTCAAAAGCTGTAAAACTTCAAACGCCGCTAACATCTTCATTTTTTAAGGAATCAAGACGTAACAAAAAGGGTTTTACGTGATTCTACTTGGTCTATCAAATGGCTATTAAGTTATTGGAAAATTTTGGAAGTTGACCCAATTTTTTTTTCTAAAGAAAACTGTTTTTTAAATTCAATATAAAATCCAACATTTTGTGTTTATCGAAAAAACCGAAATATATGTTAGCGAAGTGGTCTATGTACACCTACATACCAATTTCTAGAAGAATCAATTCAAAAATGTGGGAGTTATTGAAACTTTTATGACGTCACGACACACACAATTTTCGAATAATGATTTTTTTGGAGCTTTTAGACCTCATACGGAAACAAAAATAGCACCATTCGATTCGCCGTGGAAAAAAAAATGCATCAGATAGACACCTTTTTAGTCTTAACAATCAACTTCCAAATTTGACCTCACTTGACCTGACCTTGGCCTGTCCTCGACCTGAGATTCATCCAGATGTGGTCCATATCACTAATTGAGTGTGCCCACTGCCCATAGCATCCTATGAATAAAATAAACCATAAAACATGTGTCGCACATGCCCTCTTCTATATTTCGTATTTGGTGACCTGAACTGACCTTGACCTTGACCTTTGCATGACATTGTATGCAATAAATCTTGTCTTGGTAGCCTATAAGAACACGTTTTGGGCTATCAGTCTCAGTCCATTCTTCGGCAACTACGATGCAAGGCTGATACTGTAGAAACTTGCATTTTGTACCCTTGACCTGACCTTGACCTGACCTCTGACCTACTTAAGCAAAATCTGCACCCCCCCCCCCCCAGCAGGGCGAGTGTGGCTGAATAGCCCAGCGGGGCGCGGGTTAATTGGAGGTGTTCCGCCGCCACTGAGTAAGACCGTGAACAAAATGGCCTTTGCGCAACAAAACTACAGCATACGTCTTAGTTTTATAGACAAATATGTAGTGCTTTTTTTCTTTGCAGCCGGAGCATATCTGCATGAACGTCTCCATTGAATACACGGAAACCATTCCAACTACGTAAGTAGGAAAACGTGCGTGTGATACAATACATGATCCTCGGTAAAAAAAGATGTCGAAAATATAGGGTTATGTCATTTTTGAGACCTAACAATACAGATCGACCAACTAATAGCTGACCTTTCCAGTCAAGTAACGGCTTTGTCTTTAATCAAATTTGCATGTTACTCATATTGGGTCAAATATTCATTCATTCGTCACGTCTGATTCTGTCTGAACGTTAGGAACACGATGTCGTTCAATCAATGTTTTACTAACTCTGAGTGAGAAAAAATCTCTTTTCACGACACCGTCAATTTGTTGATTGTTCCCTCTGGATGCTAAGCCGCTTACCCTTATTTTATGTCTGAGCACACGCTAACGAAATGCCGAAATCGGGAGTCTTTGACCTTCGAAGACCTATGATGAACTGACATGTGACCAGACAAAAGAAATGACTGAATTATTTTCCCCCGTAATTTTAGACGCTTTTTCGACCGCCGCTTATTGAGTGTCGTTACGTGGGCCGTAGCCCAGGAGCCAAGTCAGATTTGAGGTCTTCCACCACCCCAACAGAGCATGGAAATCCAGGAGCTCCAACAGGGTGCACCTGGTACTTACATTTACCATTTCCCGTATACTTAAGTACGGGTGTGCTCACGGTATGCATGATTGCAGGGTGAATCACCGACCGCTTTGGGCCGTGTATGGAGAATACACATACCTTCCGCCTCAGCGCTGGACCCACAACATTGAGGTACAGTATACAGCTTCTGCCTTCTATTACCTATTTCATGACGGAATCATAATTAGCATTTATGATGTATATTTGCGTTGAGACCGCGTCCTGTCTGTTGTGTGTTCCGACTTTCATGTCTGCTGACAGCACGGCGCGGTTGTCATGCTGTATCACCCGTGCGCCGACTCTACCGAGGTGGACAAATTGAAACAACTGGTGCGCGGCTGCATCCGCAAACACGTCATCACCCCCTACAACAAACTGCCAATGGAACAGGTGAGTTCCTCGTTCGAAAAAATATTTAGACAGGCGTATTTTTGGTCAGCTTTGAATAACCCAAAACGGAATGCTCGTCGGGAAGAATGTGCCGAGTAATTTTGTAAATGTTTGGCAGTATGTAGGTATAGGTTGCATACTGGTGCTAGGTACTTTTTTGGTAACTTTTGTGAATTATTTGTTAATTGAGGATCGGCGTGCCCATAGCAAAGCTCATTTTGGAACCATACATACCTCATCTATATTATATCTTTATTATAATATATGCTATTATCATAATATGTATTTAATAGTTTCATAGTTTATTTTAATAAGGTATTATATCCCCGCCTTTTTATTGTTATTACAAAACCGCCACGGCTCTGTGTTTCCATGTTCAGCCGCTGGCACTGGCCACCTGGGGCTGCCACCTCCACATGGCCGAGGTGGACGAGGCCGCCGTGCGCAGCTTCATCAGGGAGACGGCTCTACAGGGCACCGAGGGCCACCTCAGCCGGGAAGGACAGTACGACTACATGCTGGTGCAGAAGGCCCAGCCACCGGTCGGATCCGACATCGACGACTCTGTCCTCTGCCCCAACCAGCCGTGAGCTGGCCGCGGCGCGGGGTCACTCTGTGGCATGGGAGACATGCCATTGGGCGACACGCACCAGATAGAAGATGCCGTAGGGATACATAAATATATCGGCAGCTTAATTGGTGTTGGACAATATTTTACAATATACGTATAGGTATGTAAGACAAATATTGGTAAATATTGATTATTTTTCATTCATTGTTTTGGTTCATTTTCATTTTCCGTTATTTACTTCTTTCGTGTAATTTTCGGGCACACTATAGCTAAATAACTTGTTTTCTGCAGGTGTGGCCTCAACTTCAAGTCATAATATTTTGTCATCTAAATGTAGTCGTATGCCTTATACGAGCGATATGCTGTTCCAGATGTGTTTAGAAAGGAAAAGCTTTACCATCTGCATATGTTTGTACCTACCAAGCGTGCATTAACCATTTTTAGGAACAAACGGACTTTTTTGCATGCGGAATTGCTCAAATTGACGATGCATAACTACATATGTGAAGTAGGTACCGCAGTGAAATATGAAAAATACATACCTACATTTTAGTTTCTTCTGTTTCTTTGTCGTTAAATCTCTACAGTGTCAATGGTACAACCTTCACATTACGAATAATTCAACATTAATGTCTTATTACCTTTGCAATGGTGACACCTGAAACGTTTCAATAAAGTTTATCGAGGATAAAAGGACGGCATGGTTTGAGATGAAATTTGTATTAATAGTAAATCTATTTAAAATAATAATGCGACCCGAAATGCAAGCATACTACATGCATATTGCATACGCAGCTCACTATGATAACATCGTCTTGATAAATTACGGTTGATAAGGGGCATTGCGGTTAATATAATTAAGTGACTAGTGAGCCTTAAACACTTAACATTCGAGTTTTTTTCACAACAGGAAAAGTGACGCTTCATAAACCCCAAGCTTTTTATATAGGTTTTTTTTTATAAGGTTAAGCTTCTGTTATCTCTAACCTATTAATAATATAAGATTAGATTACGGGAGTGTCCTTCGCTGCGTGTCCAATGCCTTTTGAATCTGGTGATAGTTGGTAGGATTTCTAGTCGGTCGGTCTGGCAGCAGTGAGTGGGGCAATCTGGCGCTCCTACTGGAGGCCTGTTTTTGTGACAGCTCTGTGCGGGGCAGTGCGCCGTGCCGGTCTCGGTGGGAGGCCTCGCCTGGCTGGCTGGCTGTCCGCCGCGCCACGGGGCCTCCGGGCGAGTGATACCGTCGGCGGATCGGAGTGCGGAAATATCGTCTTATACTGTTCTTTCCTTTTTGTTATCGGTGGGTGATCAACGAGTGCGACTTAAAATCAGCTTCGGTGTCATCTCTGGTTTACTTTTGCCACTGAAGGAATACGACAAGCACAGGTAAGTCGAGTATCTTACATACGTGAAGACATGGATCCATCGGAATAAGGAAATGCATTTTATATGAGCTTAGAGCTTTGCATATCAGGAGTTCGGTTTACCATAGCTGGGTGCTCGAACACCTCAAACCCCTTAACCCTCACCCGTATAGGGGGCGGGGGCCAAACGGACCCTCCCTCGTTTTTTTTTTTTGCGAAAAACTCGCGTAAAAAGCAGGCGATCGCACCGAAACTTTCAGTACCCTCGCGTTAATCAATTTTATACCTACCCTGAAAACTACATGACCCTGACCCAAATGACCTTTGACCTGTTGTGACCCACTTTTCGACACCATGTTTGGCCGGAATCGCGATTCGGCGTATGTCGGAATCAGAATCAGAATCAGAATGTATATTCACGAAGGTCCACTGCTCTCAGGGGCTTTTCACCATCGCACGTCAATAATACAAGCATACGGATATAGGGAGCATTTACACCGATACATTCAAAACAATGGGAAAATAAAATAAAATCAAATCAAACGTCACCACAACTCACTCGTCACGGCACGCAAACAGGTGTTGCTTGGTGGCTGTTTTGATAGACATGCCAGGCTTCCTAGGCACAGAGTTATATAACTTCACGGCACTGAAGCACAGCCGACTGCGTCTCGCTTCTGTGCGAATACGCGGCACTGTGAGGAGATCAGCAGTGCGAGTACTATGGCTGTGCTGCTCACGAGCGGGAGGGCGGATAGTCGCGACTACTGGCCTCGGTACATCATCGGTAAGCAGTCGGTGAATGGTGATGACTCTATGGTAAGTGATCAGTTCATCAGCATTTAGCCACCCGAGCGATCGCACAACATCTGATATGCTCTCATGCTTGCGGCGTCCACTGAGCACTCGTGCGGCAAAGTTAATCACCTTCTGAATGCGGTGGACTTGCGCCTTGTTACATATGCCGTAAACTGACATGCAATAGCGCAGCACGGGGAAGACTAGAGCTGTGATAAGATGTTTCAAGGTCGCGATCGGTATGACATGTTTGACATGGTTTAGGCCGAGGAGCATTCCTATACATTTCGGAACGAGTTGATCGACATGAGGTTGGAAGTCAAGGCTACGGTCGAAAATCACACCGAGGTTACGAACATGGTTTGACGATCTGATTGTTGCCTGGTTGAACTGAACGTTCACATGAGAAATACCTCTCAGCATCTGCTTCGTTCCCATGACCGTCAGTTCAGTCTTTGCTTCGTTCACTTTCATACGGTGTGCGCAGAACCAGTTAAACATCGATTGGAGAGCTGTCTCGAGCCGGTTTATAAGTAACGGGAGGTCATGCTTTTTGCCAGTTGTCCAAATCTGGGTATCATCGGCGAACTGAACTATTTTTACATAATCGGGCACATGGAGACAGAGGTCGTTCGCGAAAATACACCAGAGTATGCAACTTAACGATCCGCCCTGATATACACCGATTGAGTTCGATCTCACGGACGATCGCACCAGCTGGCCCTCGTGACTTCTGACCTGGACCTGCTGTGTATGACCTCGGAGGTAGTCGTCAAGCCAGAAGGGATCGATACCATACACCGACAGCTTGTCGATCAGAAAATCGTGCGGCACCATGTCAAAACACTTGGACAAGTCCACCATTGCCCAGAGGGCAATCTCACTAATGTCCATCGCGCGCAATACATCATCTGAGACCACGTGCAGGGCAGTCTCACACGAGTGGCGCTTGCGGTAGCCATGCTGAGTCTCACTAAGCAGATGGTGCCTCTCCAGGTACTCGGTGAGCTGGAGCTGCACAGCTCTCTCGGCGATCTTGGTGATGGCAGGGAGAATGGAGATGGGCCGAGTGCGAGACGGGTCAGATGCAGTGAACTTCCCCTTGGGTATCGGGGTTATGATGGCATGTTTCCATGATGCTGGTACTCTGCCAGTCTCAAGGCTGGCATTCACTACATCCAGCACGATATGTCCAAGTCCATGGAAGAAGTCCTTTATCATGTTGACGCTGAGCCCGTCACTGCACTCTGCCCCAGATGGTTTCAGTCCCTGCACTATCGCCCACAGGGTCTCCATGCTTATCGGCTGGACTCTGAGCCCGTCAGCACAGACCCGGGGCAAACGCACATCGACTGGTCCGGCCGGTGCAGGAACAGCGGCGGCCAGGTCTGGCGCTATCGAGACGTAGTAGTCGTTTAAGGCATCAGCCGTGATGCCGCTGATTGGAGACGAGCTCTTGTTGGAGCCAATCATAGGCCGGAGCACTCTCCACATGCTACTGGGGCCTCCCTTGGTCAGCTGCTCCTGAAGGTGCCGTCGGCAGTCAGCGCGGATAGCGGCTCGGGACTGCCGGTTCAGCTTCTTGTATTCCTGGCGGTGACCGGCGGAGAGAGCAGTTCGCCTGCGAGCCAGCAGGTGGCGGGTGTTCTCCGAGGCAGGTGGCGCACCTGGCGGCCGCACCAGGACCCGACGCACCGGAGCAACGGCATCCAGCAGCGGCTTGAAGGTCTGCACGAACGCTGACCACTTCAGCTCTGGCCCAGCAGACCTGTAGACCGGCATCCAGTCGGCGTTCAGGAGCTGCTGGTTGAAGTCGGTCTTGTCGACGCGCGCCAAGCACCGCCGTTGAGACACAGTGCCGGTGGGTCGCTTGATCCCGGTGACTCGGAGCGCCAAGCGGGTGATGTCGTGTGGGCCGCCATAGTGGCAGCGAGTCACTCCGGCTCGAGTGACGAGGTCACCTCGATTGGTGGCGAGAATCATGTTGTTGAGAATAAATGTTGCGGCTCGCATTAGCCGCGCGTTTGCAGTGTTTTCGTGCAGTTTCAAGTGTTCAAACATTGATTTGAACGAGAGAGACTCTCATTCAGCGTTCCCTTTAGGTCACCCCATGGAAAGCTCCATTCCCTTTAGGGCCCCGGAACCCTAACCCCTCAAGGCATGCACACTGAGGAGACTGACCAATGATCATAGCGCTCCCAACTCTTTTCAGATTTATATGAGAAGCACTTGAAACCATGATGGCCACCAGAGACCCACTGGGTTTTGTGTGAAGCTGCTCAACAGAACGGCCCGCCAGATCAAACGTTCCTCGTCCACGGCTGCTGCGAAAAGGTAAGTATAGATGGTGAGGGATATTTGTCACTTTTTCAAGCACCACGGTGGCAGAAGTTCAACCTTGGTTCAACGTTTATGAGCGAAAATTCTAATGACGACAAATGATCGTGGCCGGTGATCGAGACTATGAAAACGAAACGTTACCTGTCCTACCATTATCGCACGCAAAACTATATAAAAAACCTATTTTGTTATATTTATGCACCGTCGTAGACTTTGAGGCAGACTCGGTCAGTCTCGTATAAACAGTTGTGCCCAAGGCCGGGGCCGACTGCAAACAGTCGGCCCAGGCTGTTCTGTACTGGCTCTATGGCTGTAGGTATTCAGTTCTGCACTGGAATCCGGATAATCCCGGTTTGCACTGAGTATGTGATGGAGATGGGGGGGGGGGTGGGGGTGGGGGGTGGAGAGCTCTCGTTAGAACGCGAGAAGCAGGCCTCCAGCGGGCTGTTTACAGACATGAATGTCTGTCTCTGATGGGGAAATCAGGATGAGCAATGCCCAACTGTGCCTTGTTACAGCGCCATCCTCCGTTTCGACAGTCGTATTACGCCCATTGACAGAACCAATCTTGGAGCTTAACATGGACGCTTTATTGGGAAAAGGTGTTAAGCCCACCTCACACGGGTGCGTTTACGGCACGAGGGTCTTACTCCAATCTTTGAGGCGTCGCATTCAAGTCATTTGGTAACATGGATCATCCCACCGACGTTAGCACTTGCGTATTTGATGAAACGAAATGATTCCGGGGCCGTAAATGTATTCGGTGAACGGAAATGAAATGAAATGAAATTGGAACTGGACGAAAGAAATACATTGCGCATTTAATACCCATATTCTGCTGATCAGCTTCAGCCGGTCGAAATGATACGGAGAGATGTGGCGGGATGCAAACGCCGCGTGCACGACGCAAGCGGGCGGACGGTGACGCAACGTAAGGCACCTCATATAAACTGCACTCGTGTTGAGCCAGCCTGAGCTTGCTTGTTTATCTACATAGTAGCGCATTTTGTAACTCGCACATAACAGTATCATAATGCTGCAAATTCTGTGGACATGGGCATGAGAAGGAGAAGAAGAGGAAGAAAAAAGCCACCGGACATCAATTATGACCTCAAATACACAAGCACACAGACCCCAACATTTACGAGTACTGCTCGCTTACCAGAACTGCTCTGAACTTGCGTATTAACACCCCTGCCCCGCGTCGCGCAGCGCCGCCCCGGCTACCCATCTGACGGAGAGCTACGTCCACTGCGCGGGCACCACTCCTCTGGTGCACGACACGCTCGGTGACGTCATCGACCGGGCGGCCGTCGACTACGGCACCAACGAGGCGCTGGTGTTTGTGCACCAGGACCTGCGGCGAACATGGCGCGAGGTCAAACAGGAGGTAAGGGTGAGGTCAAGCAAGATGTTAGGGGTGTGGTGAGGTCAAACAGGAGGCAAGATGTGCAGGGTGAGGTCAAGGTCAAATGAAAGAAGTGTAGAACGAAGTCAAACATGAGGTAAGGCGGACATGGTGCGAGGTCAAACGTGAGATGAGAGGTGGGCCGTGGTCAAACTCGGTTAGTATCCATAGGACTATCATTATAATGCTCGGGCTATTATGAGTCTACGGCGGGGTGGCCGATTCTATGTTTTCTTTTCGCGAGGTCATCAACTCTATTGGCTAGGTGCATTCTATTGTCGATGTTGTAACGTAACTCGCTGTTTTTTTTTTTTTACTGTAAGATATTTTGTCTGAACATTTTTGTCGAATTTATGGTTCAAGATGTCGTGTGGTGGAACTTGAATGGGCACATGGTTACAGTGAACAGGCGTTATGTCTCACAATTATAGTCTGATCTGCTTAAACGTTTCAAGAAGTTGTCTCGCCGATCGTTAACCCTATTAGTGGCAGGCTCCTGGTATACCCCTATTAGTGGCAGGGGGGGGGGGCTGTTTACGACCCCCCTTGATATCTCGAGATCTAACGGGCCGATTTTCAAAATTCAAACGGCATTCGATTTCGCTCAACGTGATCTACATTTCTAAAAAATAAAAATTAAAAAATATCAACAGGGGGGGTAGAGGGGGGTAAAAACAGGCAAATTGCAGATACATTTTAGACTGTTTATCACGGCCAGGTTTCTGAACCAATCCTAACGCAACTTTTGCCGATCGATAGAGAATGAACCAGGAATTCACATGGATCCTAAAAATATGCATTTTCAAAAATCATAGGCGGATACAGATCATTGAGATTGGGGGTACACAAAAAGTATAGTAAATAAGGTTTTTGTTGGTACTGTTTCTAAAAAGGGTGGTAATGGTCTTGTTATGTTACAATTTTCTTATGAGAGAACGACTACAATTGTATTGGTCATGCATAGGCGGTGTCAGGGCACCTATGTTGGGAGGTAAAACATGACCCCCTTTTTGGACGCCTGGATCCGCCTATTATAAAAACGTGTCAAAAGAGGATGCACAATAACTGTATATGTTATCACATGATACCTTTCATTCACTGTTCGTAAAACTGGTGCAGCATCGTGATCTTCGCCCAAATGACTCGCTTCACGAATAGGACCCCCAATTCCCAGTGCTCTGGAGCCGCCTCTGGTAAAGTTATGAACTTGAAATTTTCAGGGAATAAGCCCAATTTAGTTTTAGGAAAAGTCAGAAAATTTCAGCATCGTAGCTTCAGCGGTTTCGGAGATATTCCCGAAATACCTGAGGGGTGGATAAAAACAACCCCCCCCCCCTGCCACTAATAGGGTTAAATGGCCATACGTCCACATTATGGGCCCCGAACGCATTGTAAAGTGTGTGTCATTGTTGTGTCATTGCTTATCGCCGTTGCCTTGCGTTAATTGCTGCTTATATTTTTATGGGTTTAGGCTTAATTAGTTCGTAGTCTAATTATACCTGCGTGGTGGCTATATTTCATTTTCGCATTTCCAACGCTCATCGTCTTTACCGCTCCCCGCTCGCGCTCAACCGCTCCGCGCTCGCGCTCAGCTCAGCGCAGCCGACGCCGCGGCCGGCCTGGGACGTGTCATACGTTATTCATGAGTGACTCACCGTCTCCAGCACTCTGCGGCCGGCGCCTGGACACTCAGCGGCCGGAGCCGGCGCTCTCTGAACATCTCAGCACGCGCATACCTATCTAGAAACACTTTTAGCCTGCTAAATGTCCGCTAATGGTTTTGACGTGTTCTTGGAACTCTGCTGCGCCGGACACCTTCAGTCACGAGATCGGCGCGTGACACTACGTCATACTTCACTTCTAGACGACTCCAGTACGATCGAGAGACTGTGACGTAGGCGACCAATCACGAGCGTTCGATTTGTGTTTAAAGAATCTTAAGCCAATAGCGAGCCGCCACGCAGGGTTAGAGGGCCACCGCCCTTAGAGTAGGATAGTTCTGCTGAAGTCACCCGATCGGGGGGACTGGCAGAAGACCCCCAGCCTCAGACCACGCCGGACGTGTTTCTGCGTCGGTCTCGACCGACACTGTAGCTGACCACCTCGCTCTGTGTTGTGCTCGACAATACACCTGGACCGGCAGAGCATCTCTTCTGGTAAAGGGCTGACAACAACACCGGCGCGCCCCGCCCTGGGCACGAGAAACCGCCGTGTTACATTGGTGCCGCTGACGTCGGATCGAACCTGCCGAAGAAGCCGTCTTCTCACTTCCATCTCCTTCTTCGTGCGCCGACTCTTCAGTCCGAACTCTGCCGCTGACGAGCACCTATTCAACGCTGCTCCGCTCCAGCTGCTACCAGCCAGCTCTCACGGCTAGTACATCGGCCGACACTTCACTGTGAGCCGCTGAACAATAGCGCTCCAAAAGTGAGTACGCCAAAGCTCGGCATCGTCTATCTTCATCAGTGCCAGCTCAAAGTACAAGTACCTGTACCAGTACCAGTCATAAAGGGCTCTGAAATCGGAACTGTACCAGTCAGGCCCCAATCTGCCCGAGTTATACGGCAGCCATCTCAACCAGCGCTCGATCTAAGCCGCTGATAACTCCAACCGACCGTCTCTCGTCATCGAGACAAAGTTTAACAGGAAAGAGAGTTCAACTCGCGCTCTCCAACGAGGTCAACTGACGTCATCAGAGAGGTCAACCGACGCTCTTCTACGAGATCAACTTCATCACGCTTTTCTACGAGAACAACTTCATCGAGAGACTTCAAAGGCGCTCAACACCCAGCGCTACCGAACCAGACTCTTGCGCGTAATCGAAACAGTCCGCCCGGCGCGTAGTGAAAGTGAAAGTGATAGTGAACTGGCGAACATCCCATCTTCGGTGACACCAACCAAAGGTACGTCTCGACATCTCCCGAGTGGCACTTGATATTAATTTTAATTTTTCTTGTTTCCTTTTAATATTAACGTAACGCAAATTATCCATTCTATCTTTGATATTTCTGGCTCTTGTCGCTTCAATGATGGCTCAAAACGAAACGTCTCGCTCGCATGCACCCGCTTCTGCTTCCTCAAGCCAAATGATCAATGCAATGATGCAAGGTTTCGGTGTTCTAAAGAACCAACTTATGACTAACCAGTCGGTGTCGGGGAAACATCATTTTGATGGCACAAGCGGTGAGCATTTTACCAAATGGCTAGCTGAAATGGACAACTTGCACATGGCGCTAAAAGGCGATGAGGAACAAACTCTTTGGGCTGCTAGTCAAACACTTAAAGGCACAGCTCTTGATTACTTCCACGAGGTGTCTCCGTCTATTGATTCTTGGGCACGATTCAAAGCTCTCATGACCCAACGTTACCACTACCTAGACGACGCGGATACAGCGAAACAGAAACTGCAGACTTTCGTGCAGAGGCCGAATGAATCAATACCTCACTACGCAGAGCGACTTCAGACACTCTCCCGACGTGCATACAAGGACAAAATAGACGAGTCCAGTGTAGTAGAGACGACCACAAGGACATTTATCAATGGCATCACCGACAGAAAGCTTCAGGAACGAATAGCGACCCGCCGACCAAAGACTCCGACAGAAGCGTATCACATAGCCATGGATCAGATTAAACTGATGACAGAACTCGCCACTTATCGTGACCACTCGAAAGTAAAACCAGAACCGATGGACTGCAATGCCATGACACCTGCTCCCGAGCCCCCTGCGCAAAATAGCGACCTGTCTGAGGTCAGAGATCTACTAGAAGTTCTAGTCAGGCGCAGTGATGATTCCTTCAAAGTCAGACCACAGGTCCATCAAAGCTATCAACAACCGAGCGCTTATCAGAGCTACCCACCACCGGTCAATCAACCGCCCCCGGGCCAGTTCTTCCAACGACAGCCCACTCAGCCGGGCCAACAGCGTCAGAACCCTGGTAATTTTAGACAGAACTCTAGGACCAAACCGGTCTATCAATGGACGTCCGATCACCGGCCGATCTGCTACTACTGCGGCCTAATAGGCCATGTACAACGTATCTGTTTTAAGCGACAGGCAGCGAACGCTTCTGCTCAGCGTCCGCAAAAACAACCGCAAAACCAACAGCAATGTAGGCCAAGCAGAGGGCAACCGCAGCCGGGAAACATGTAAGGCCTCACACTGATTCAGCGACAGGCGGTACAGAGACCGCTCAAATTTTGAAAATTAACGAGAACTGCCCGTATGTTGACATTTCTATTGGGACGCACCCCTTTCATACACTTTTGGATACCGGCTCGCAGCTCTCGCTCGTTAGTGAAAAATTTGTGGAATTGCTAGAACCGTCGCTGGTGAGACCAGCTGAAAAACAAAAAGTCACCCTCGTGTCAGCCTCTGGACACAAACTGAAACCGACCAGATCAGTCAAAATACGAATCACTCTTGGAAAGGTGCGCATGTATCATGATTTTGTTGTAGTAGTCGGCTTCAACCATGATATGATTTTGGGTATCGATTTCTTGAATGCTAGGAAAGCGCTGCTAGACTTTGAGAACCAAACCATGATCATCGGAAGGTATGTGTACCCACTCAAAACGAAACAAGGAAAGAGTACTAAAGAAACAAATTTAGTGAGACTCGCGGAGGACGTAGACGTCTTCCCTCGTTCGGACTTGCAGGTGAAATGCGCGATCACAAAGAAAAATAAACCAGGTGAAGGCTTCGTCGTTACTCAGCTCCCCTCGTCTCCGTGTTTCGAAAACGAACCAGGTATTCTGCTACCAAACGCCGTTGTCAAGCTCTCGAAAAACCGCCATATCCCCTGGGCAATTGTGAACGAAACGGGCCGGTATTTGCATTTCAGAAAAGGACAAGTTATTGGAGTAGCTACAAAAATTTCCGATTCAGAACTTGAACCGAACATTTCATCAATATCGAAATCAGAGGAGAACGTCAAAGAAAGCTCAGAGGATAAAATTCGTTCATTCAAGCTAGATCACA